CTTTTTTTCTTTTTCTGACACATCTAATCAACTCTACAGTCCAAGTCCTGAGTTCACTGATATGTGTTCATGGATGTTGGAATTTTGGTTTGTTTTTACTGTTTATATCTCTCTTCAAAAGACAATATTATGTCTTTTAAAGAGGTCATGAATTATTAATGTTAACAATGCCCTTGAGAAAACCTTTGTGAACACTGAGCTCTTCGGCACATCTTTATCAAAGCTGCTTCTGAATTAGTTTTCATTTTTCAGGTGAACGGCATTGAGGAGTTTTTCAGACCTACATGTCTAAATGGAGAACACCAGATGTACTGTGACCGCTGCGGTCACAAAGTTGATGCTACTATTGTAAATGAAGAATTTTTTGTGATTTCTGAACATTGATATTGATTTAATGAAATTATAACGAAATGACACACATTAAAAACCCATATTTTTCACTCAGACAGATGTAATAAAACATCACCCAGATGTTTTGATTCTGCTGCTGAAGAGGTTTGAGTTCAACTACAGTTACATGTCCTACTTCAAAACCAGCTGTTTTGTGGAGGTTCCCTACAGCCTGCAAATACAAGGGGTATTTACGAAGTGTACTTTAATATTTGATCAAAATCATCTTCATTTTTCTTTCTCACTTTGTTATTTTTTGTCCTCTGGGATCAGAATGAGGTGTACGAACTGTATGCAGTTGTGGATCATTTTGGTGGTCTGAGAGGTGGCCATTACAGCGCAACAATCAAAACCCAGGATGAAGACAGATGGTATAAGTTTGATGATACCCAGGTCACACCGGTAAGGCTGATCGCGTTTTCTTCAGTGTAATTGAAACACGTTCCAAAATTACTGTATTGTATGTTTATGTATAAACATAAAAGAAAAATTCATCATGTTATATTTGTTATTTTTCCTTCATAGCTTGATTACCAACCATTCCAGGAGAAGTAGGTTTTTGTCTTTCCTCTTGTCCTTGCTATAGATTAATTTGCAAATATATCAATATTTAAAGTTTATTTAAACACAAATATAATATAGATGACTGTACGTATGGAGTATGTTACACCAAACTCTAATCACAAGTGCAGATTGTATTT